TAAGCATGTAGGTATTATTATCTTCATTTTAGAGGAGAGAAAAATGAGACTTGAGATTTAAGGGAGTGATGCAAGATCACACAGCTAAAAGAGGCAGATCCTGGTTTGCTCTTCATATTCAGTGGCTTTTGGGAGAAGATGAGCTCTCAAGTTGGAGGCCCAAACCCTCCAAACCCTTGGAGGTCCCAGCCAAGGTCAATCCAGGCACACACACCTGAATGTCTGAGCACTTCATGTCATACAGGAACATATGTTAGTAGAACCATTAAGGCAGGTCATTAAATTAATATTTTTAACTGTATTAAAAGAAGTTTATTAAAATAAAAAAGAAAACCCTATACTAAAAAGACATTGATCAATTAATTGTCAGCTTAGTGAAGTTCATTCTGGAAAATTCTCTGTCCAAAACTTAATCAGCATTTGTGTAACTCAGATCAAATGTTTTAATTCTAATCTTCCTTGGGGGTAAATTGTCCTTTGAATCAAATGGCATATCCAAGTGGCAAGGTCCAAACACTCCTCCTGCAATGCCTCAGCTGCTTCTTCCCATCCTGTGAGATATAGGGCCAAAAGAAGAAGCTGCCTTGTTAGGCAGGCTGAGGAAATGGCAAAGCAGGCAAGATGCTCCCTACATCTCAAGGCTCCCAGGAGGGCATTGCAGTGGCCAGTCCATGGGACACCGTCAAAGCCTTCTTGACCTGAGAGGGCTAGGGCTATCTCAGGTGACTTCCTTCCAGGACACTAGAGCTGTGTGGCTTTTTAGAGCTCACAGTGTCGTTTTACAGTTGGGGAAGCTGGAGCATAGAGAGAGGAATCAGCCTGGTCACACATCTAGTTGGTGGCAGAGCCAGGTCATTCCCTGGGCTCTGACTCTCCATCCCAGCTCCTTCCAATTCCTCGGTAAGATGAGAAACCCTGTTGCTACGACTGACACATAATTTATGAGTTTGGAAAATCACAGGAGCATCTGAGCCAGCACTTCTGCTGTTCCAGAACCTGTATGACCTGAGAACTTTGTCCTGTTCCATGTGGGCCAAGAGCAGAGAAAGGAAGAAATGAAGATAGTTCCAACAGATAACTCTGCACCTGTCTCCCCTTTTCCTACAGAGTCTGGTCCTGATTACAGACCGTGACATTGAGGAGGAGGAAGATGGAAGAGGAGGGAGACTCAGGGACAGGAAGAAAGGAGGCTGGGCACTGACCCAGAGAAGGCCTCTGGGTTACTTGATTACATCTCAGGCTTAGGAAAGGCTCTATTTCTCATGTAAGCTTTGGGTGTCTATCTGAAGTTTTAAAATTGATTAAAATGTAAATTAAAGCAGTAAAGACTTCAATTAGACACAAGGAAACTGAAGGATGGCAAAGCACTGCTCTGGCAACTAGAGAGGTGAAGATCCCCAGAGGGCAGGGGGCCTGAGGGAGGGGCCAGAGAGAGGGGCCGGAGTGTGGCAATGAGCCCCACCCCCTCTCACGCCCACAGTGTTCTCAGGGAGCCACTTCTGTCTTCACAGTTGGTTCTTTGCCTTTGCAGGGTCATGGGCCCTTTTAAAATTAGAAACCCTTATTCACTCCAGGAAAAATATATGCACATATGGATACATGCGGAACTATCCATATAATTTCCTGGGTCCACAGACCCCAAGTTAAGAACTCCTGTTCCATGTGCTGATGACGAACCAGACTGTTTTTCCAACCCAGCCCTTTTTTTCTGAGCTTCAAACCCACACATTTAGCTCTCTTCTGCAAACCTTCTTCAAAATTTCCCAAGTGCCGGGTAACCAAAACCTAACTAAAATCTTTTCTATCTCCTGTATTCCTTCTCTAGGGACTGGAACCTTCATTCATTCAGTTGCCTACATCTGAGACTGGCCATCAACCTGAACCAGTGGTTCTCAATGCTGACAGCACATCAGAATTCACTAGGGAGTTTTCAAAACTGAGCCATGGACTTCACCTCTGACCTCCTGAATCAGGGCCTCTGGGAGTGGGGCCAAGCCTGGAGAGTCTGAAGGGTGCTTCTCTCATGCAGACCATCCTTCTGCCAGCCTCACTCCAGTCATCACATTCTGTGGCTTCTACTTACTGAATTCATTTATTTTGAATAAGTAATTCTTAAACATGATACAGAAGTCAAAGGTAAAAAAAAAAAAAAGGACAATCAGAGGAGAGTTCCCCTCCCATCGTCAACTCTATGTAAATAATATCTCAATAAAGTCTTCTTTTTTTTTTTAATGTGATGGCTGCTGTGAAGCACTAGGGAGGACACAGATGAAGAGATTCTGCTCAAAACTTTCCAAAAACCATTTGGTTTGGAAGGGAGGGAGGATTCTCTCTGCAACATCAGCCTCACCGGGAGGCTTAGTAAAATATTCCCCCGCCAGGGGGCAGTGTCGTAGCCGGCTGGCCACCAGGTTTTGACCATTAGCCCCCTAGGGCGTGAGCAGCGACCCAGAGGGATCCGAGAGGCGACGAGCCTCACCCACATACACGTGCCGTGGGGCTTCGAACCCCGCCCTCTAGCGCGTGAGTGGGAGACGATCACCCCGCGTAGGGACAAGGACCGTGAGGAATGGTTCCAGCGCCGCGTCCTGCACCCCTCGCCCAGCCCTTCTGCTGGCGTCGCCCCGCCGCCTTCGAGGGCATGGCATTGGAGAAGGGAGCCTGGGCTCTCCCGCACACAACTCCCGCTGTCGGGCAACCTTGGGCCAGTCCCCTGTCCCCTGCTTGCGGGATGCAGAAGGGAAATTGTGCCAGCACGAAGTGCGCTGCGGCGGGCGGCTGCAGGCGGGTAGCAGAACCTGCCTCTCTGGCTCCGCTCCTCAGACAAGGCCTGCAGAAAGACTTGCCGGCGCCCCCGTCCTCCCTGACCTTCTTCCACTGAACAAAGCAGGTTATCTGAGCTGTAGCGAATCTCCACCCATATAGAACTTTAAAGTTTTATTTTGAATGACAAAAGAAGTATGGCCTAGATTGGTTGTCCCTCGTGCTAAAAAGGCATTTTTCCAGCTGTGGCTCATCAAGGAGGGGGCCGTTAGGGGAATGAGCTGGAACGCGGAGAGGGGAGAGATCAGTCACTTCCCGGAGTGCCACGGCCCCAGGGACCCTCCGTAACCTCCCCCAGCGTGGCCACAGCCGGCCCTCGGACGGCGGAAGACATTTGGTCAGCCCTGCCCGCCCGCTGGCGCACTTGTCTCCAGCCCTCGGCGCCACACCTCCTCCCCACCAGGCGCACCGCGTGGTTTGCCCAGTTTCCCGGATCCCGCAGAGAGGCGGCGGTGTTGAGGGCACGCCGCCTCCTCCTCCCGCCCTCTGGTTCGGGGGGCCCCTGGCGCACCACCCCCAGTGCAGGCTCTCGCGGGGCCGGACTCAGCCAGTGCCGCAGGTGCAGCCCAGAGGCAACACGCGGGTGAGTCAGACTAAGCAGCTGCTAGAGACCGTGCAGGCAGGCAGGGGACCCATGGGTCCCCACATTCTCTCGGGTAGCTTCCCCCACACCGGGTCCGCGGGCTCTCAAAACTGACTTGACCCCAGGTTACGGGAGACAGGAGGCTTGCGTGGCATTTTCTCGGGAAAGGAGGCTGTGGGTATACTTCATTTTAGAGCGCTAGCTTTGGACTTAAATCCTCTCCTACTACCAGCTGGCGTTCCTGGGTGATTTTGTAACTTTAGTGGAAGACTTTCTGGACCTCACTTTCTCCATCTATAAAATGGGAATATAATGCTACCTCCCAGGGTCCCTGTGAGGACGAAACCAAAAGACGCTGCAAAGTGCTGAGCAGGAAGCGGGTGAGAGCGGCTAGATCCTCGTTATTTATCAGAGAAGAATCTCCACTTCCGGCCTTGCGGGGTGTACTTTGCCCCTGGCCTGCCGTCCCGCAGTATAAGAGAAGTCGCACGGGGGGTATGGCCAGGAGTCGCATGGGGGGCATGGACAAGGGCAAAAGCTCTGTCGCCAGCGATGCTCCAGGCGACCCTGTGGGCGAGCACCTACTCTGTTCTGATTGGTGGTTCTTTGGGCCTTTGAGTAGGACGCACAATATGGCAAGGACAATTGCAGCTTTCCTTAAGGAGGACATCCCTCACATTTGCTTCTCAAAAGTCATTCTTCACCCTAGACATCTTCACCTCAGGAAACTTAGAACCACTGTCAAAATTATTAACACCCCAAAACTCCTCCCTAGAGAGCAGAGTTCTCATTTTGCAGTTGGGAACCACGAGGTCACGGATAGTTAAATAATGCAGGCGCGTTAATGGAAATACCTTTCTCTCTTCCACTCTCCCATATGTGTTAATGCTGTGTTGCATTAAATGTTAAACAAGAGATGAACGTGGGTCCATTTCGGCAACCAGAAAAAGGAACGGACAGGGTCAGACTTTCCAACGCTTCTAGGGTGGGGCTCCCTGCAGGGTTTACTGCGGCCCGCAGAGTAAAGGTGAGAAATACGACACCAATCGAGAAAGTAGACTTGGAGAGCCACTCTCACCCTCTGCCCCTGGGATGGACCCCAGAGTCTGGAACAGGATCTTAGCATTGAGGAACTTGGTCCTTGAGCGTTTCGAGCAGAAGACGCCTTTGGCGGTTACGCAGGGATCCTCCTTCTCTTCCAACACTCCTGCCCCCTCCCCCCACCCCACAGTCTTTAAAACCTGCTCGAAATGCCAGAACCCGAGAAGGGGCCGAACCTTGGGCCTGCCGCCCTCTCCCGTAAGCAGAGAACCAGCAGCTTTGTCATGAAGTTTGAAGATAGGGCTATTCCTTGGAACGAGCCACGCGATGGCTGCCATTCTAGACTACACTCTGTGTCCCCAGACTGTGTCGCCAGAGCCGACACGGTGCTGCGCATACAGTGGGCGCGGGAGAAAGGTGGGTCACCTACGTCTGCCGGGGACCCTCTGACTCAGAGAGAAAGACAACTATCTCGGCTCACCCGCGGCGGGGCGGAGCGGTCTCCCTTCCATCTTCTCGCCGCATTGGTGAGAAGCCTCCCCCCGCTCCCGGAGCAGTGGTTTCCTCTTCGGTGTACCCCTGCCACTGAGATGGTCTCTCCCAGCTGCCTGCCCTCGCACATCCCGCGCACACGCGTGCGGAATGCCCCTGTCTGTAGTTATCAGCATCCGCTCCCTGACCCCACAGTCGAATCTCCGCGGTCCTGAGCGCTTTCCCTTTATTCTAAAGCTCTCCGTTCCCCTGCCCTCCGGGAGACCGAGCCCCACCTGGCCGCAGCGCTCGCAGGATTTGGACCCCGCCGGTGTTCATATGCATAAATGAGCAGGCTTGCATCCTGATTGGGCTTAGGTAAGTAGTTGCCACGCCCAATGGTGTTGGCCCCGCCCCCTAGGACACATGGCTAGAGATGTTCCCAAGGACAACTCACTCCTCCAGCCAGGCCTCGGCCTGGGGAGCTTAAGGATGAGTAGCGATTGAGCCTCTTTCCGAAGAACACCCGCGCTTGTTAAATTCAATGTCCCCTATGTTGTCACCTCCTCCAGGGACCTCGACTCTGTCTTTGACGCTTGCCCCTCAGAGGCCCATCCAGGTGGACTCGAGGGGCAGAGATGGATCCGAACGGATCCCTGACCTGGAGGACATCAGCTAGACAGGGCAGAGAAGAAATCAGAAGGTCCCATGGGTCAGTGCTCAGTGAAGTGTAAAGCCTAGCACAAGGTCTTGCGGAAAACAGGGTTAAAGAGGGCTTCTCTGGGTCCCAGCAGTTGTAGCAAAATTGATAATGAAAGAAACCACTTGTTATGTTTGCTTTTTATTTAATGATTTCGTCTTCACAACAGCCCTGAGGTAGGTATTGTTGTTATCATCATTATACAGATGGAGATATAAATTTGGGGTGCAGAGAGATTTAGTGCCCTTTCACCATGAGCAAGTGACAGAGCAAGGATCTGAAACTGGGTCTTGTCAAAGCCAAAGATGGTCTAAACCTCCATGTTAGAAACAAAGCCGGCAAAGGAAGGAATGTGAGCAAAGACACTCAAGTGAGAAATAAAGCAGAACAGAGGAGGGGCTACAGGAAAATGTTTCTGGAGGACGAAGCTCTGTTCACAAAGGGAGAGTGAAGGCTGGAGAGGGCCGGTGGAGAGCCTTGTACACCACGATCAGGAATGTGGACTTGATCTTGAGGTGGTGAGGGGCTGACCCCCACCCAGAGATTTTACAAGGAGAGTAATGCACTCTCTCTGGCTACAGTTAGGAGAGTAGGTGCAGGGAGGAGAGGTAAAGAAGCAAGGTGGGTGCAGTCTACTCTATCTCTTGCTTCTTGATTATTTTTTCATCATGCACGTGTATAAAATGGTTCCTTGTGTTGACACACTGGGGTAATAAATAAGCAAAGGAGCTGTTTGCAGCTAGAAGCAACCAACCCAGGGGGCTCCAACCATCAGAAGTCCCTACACAGCCACCCCTAGGGCTGAGGATTCTCAGATAACATGTACCCCAGTCACAGTGGATGTGGACTCAGATATTGACAGTGGAGGATGAAGAACAAGAGCTGGATTTAAGGAATGATTAGGAAGCAATGTTAGTATCACATAGTGAAGGGGTGAAAAAGGAAGATGACTCCTGGGTTTCTGCACTGAGTACTTGGATAAATGGTAGTTCCCTTACTGCTGCAGGGAACATGAGAGCAGGGCTGGTTCATGGAGAAATGATGAGTTCTGTTTGGCTGCCTGTGTTAGAGGTAGACAGGCAGTGGATTAGGACTCTGGTATCAAATAGACTGGGTTCAACTCCTACTTTCATCAACTTGGTAGTTCTGGTGCCTTGGGCAAAAAACTTGATCTCTCTAAACCTGTTCATTTGTCTATAAGGTAGGGGTCATAATAAGATTATAAATTTGTTATAAGAATAAAATGAGAGTGCATAATGCCTGGAATATAATTAGTATCTTATAATGGCAATGCTATTATTGTTGATATTTACTATTATTATTATCAGTAAATCTGAAGCTTTACTTTGATATTTACTATTATTATTATCAGTAAATCTGAAGCTCAGAAAAGAAGCGGCTTCAGAAGTCATCAAATGGAAACTGAAACCATGAGAATAAATGAAAAGACCCACGAAGCATGTAGATGATGAGAAGGGAGGAAATTGAAGACCACAAGGACTTACATTTCAGGAGTGGAAAAAGGAAGAGGAGCCTAAGAATAAATAGAGAAGAAGGAGGAAAGCCATGAGAGTATAACATCATGGACACCACATGCATCAGCCACGCAGTTGATCCTCTGTCTCACTTTCTCCTTCCTAACAGAACCTGATGTTGTTAGGGTAAGCACCCACCTCTGGAGGGCTATGTGCTTCAGAGGAGGCAGCCGCAGCCACAGCTCCAAAGGAAGAGGTGAGTCCTCACTGGATTTCCATTTTCTTTGCCAGTGGTTGGTTTAGGAAGGTCTATTTAATACCATTCTGGCCAATGGGACTTGATGGAAGTCTATGAGGGGGCTCCTGAAAAAAATTTCTTTGATCTTAAAAAGAGATACACATGCATATCAAAATCACAATGAGATACCACTTTACATCCACTAAGATGCGTAAAATGAAAAAGCCAGATAACAACAAATGTTGATCAAGATTTGGAGAATTGAGAACCCTCACACACTGCTGATAGAAATGTAAAAAAGGTACAGCCACTTGGAAAACAGTCTGATAGCTCCTCAAATCATTAAACATAGTGTTACCATATGACCCAGTAATTCCATTTCTAGGTATATACCAAGGGAAATGAAAACATTTGTCATACGTCCCTGCGAAACTGTACACCAATGTTTATAGCATCATTTTTCATAATAACCAAAAAGTGGAAATAGCTCAAATTCATCAACAGATGAATGGATGCACAAAATACTGCCCCTCCATACAATGCAATAGTATTTGGCCTTAAAAAGGAATAAAGTACTGATGCATGCTATGACATGCTAAGTGAGAGAAGCCAGCCACAAAATACCACATACTACGTGATTCTATTTATATGAAAGCCAGAATAGGGAAATCTATAGAGCAAGAAAGATTAGTGATTGTCTAGGGCATGGGTGGCGGGGAAATGATAACTAAAGGACATGAGGTTTCTTCTTGAGGTAATGAAAATGTTTTAAAATTGACTCTAATTGTAATAGTTACACATACCTCTGAATATACTAACAGCTGTTGAATTGTATGCTTAAAATGAGTGAATTGTATGATATGTTAATTATATCTCAATAAAACTGTTTAAAAAGAAGCAACAAAAAAGAGATACACACGCAAAAAAATACAAACTCTTCTTCTCAATGTTGTCATGTCTAGATGGGATGGCAGCATGAGGGTGATTCCACGCGCAGAGAAAGGCAAAACCACGACGATCACTGAGAAACAGCAATGGAGCCTTGGCAGCAGCAAGCCCTGGTTGTCTTGTTATGTGACATGATAAATTGTTTAAGGCAGTCTGAGTCAAAGTTTTGCTAACGTTGTTTGTGGACAATTTAAGTACTTTAATCACAAAGGAGTTTAATATAGGGAAGTAGCTGCTTACGAAAACTTATAGAAATGACTCCTGGAACATGTAAAGCTGACCCCTGTCTGAAGAGTGGGGACTCAGGAGACCACTATGAGAACTAATGAGTCCAAGAACACAGTGCTTTATTTGCAATCCAAGGATCAGAAAGCCATAACCAAACCACCACAGCTGCCTGTCAGTACTCACAAAGCTGGTGAATTAACATGGAACACTAGTTCAGAAAACTGACCCATCTTTTTGACCTTACTTGCTGGTCAGAAGAATGACCTTCACTTATTTCCACTTTCCAGATAGCTCCCATCTAATGACCAGCTTTTTTGCTCTTTATTCCAACTTTCATCTCAGATCGTCTATCTAGAATCATTTTTCCTTTAGAATTTTCTGAGGGTCTTCTTGTGATTTTTCAGATTCGGTTTGCCTGGAAATATCTTTGTATTGCCCTCATTCTTGAAAAAAAAAATTTTCTAAACATAGAAGATAGACTAGTAGTCATGTTCGTTTTTTCTTCTTTTCTTTCTGTTTATTTATTCATTTATTTATTTTAGTTCTTGTGGAAGGGAGTGGCAGCTAGTGTCTGGGCCCTTTGATGGGTTTAAAGGGTGACCAGATTGTGGGCTGGGGCCCCAATACCACAAGGTCCAGAGAAGGGCGGCAAGGGGCCCTCCAACAGGGAGTCAGTGGATGAAATCAGTGTGATGGAACGTGTGGTCAAGGCGGAAAAACAGTGAGTGTGGGATGGGGTTTTGCTAGTGTGGCAGAGCTAGTCGTTGACTGACTGGGAAGCTCTGGAAGGCGGTGGGGACAAGCACAAGGAGAGGGTGTTCTTCTCAGAGTCTGCCCACGTGTTTCCTGCCTGGCAACTGATAGTAATGTTCTTTCAGCACATGAATATTCCCATCCATGACAGCCTATATTGCCTACAGCCACTTCTGACACCAAATGGCCAGAGTTCAGTACAGGAGACCGAAGTCAGCAAGAAAATTCCAGACAAGAAAAAGTAAAAGGAGTTCATCGCCACCAAAACAATATTATAAGACATGTTAAAGGGACTTCTTTAAGAAGAAGAAAAAAATTATGAATAATAAAATGGCAATAATTACATAGCTATTAGTAATTACTTTAAATGTAAATGGATTAAATGCTCTAATCAAAAGACTGAATGGAGAAGAAAAACAAAACCCATACATATGCTGCCTACAAGAAACTCACTTCAGATCAAAAGACACACACAGACTGAAAGTAAAGGGATGGAAAAAGATATTTCATGCAAATGGAAATTTAAAAAAACCTAGGGTAGCAATATTTATATCAGACAAAATAGACTTTAAAACAAAGGCTTTAACAAGAGACAAGGAAGGAAATTTCATGTATAGTAGCCAAGATATGGAAGCAACCTAAGTGTCCATTGATGTACGATTGGATATATACAATAGAATATTACTCAGCCATGAGAAAGAGTGAAATCTCACCATTTGTGACATCACAGATGGACCTGAGGGGTATTGTGTTGGGTGAAATGGGTCAGACAGAGAAAAACAAATGCCATGTGATTTTACTTATATGTGGAATCTAAAATAAATAAATAAAAATAAGTGAAAAATCAAAACAAAAACAGGCTCATGGCTACAGAGAACAAACTGATTTGTGCCAGATGGGAAAGGATTAGGGGGCTGGTTGAATAAAGTAAGGAATTAAGTTATAAAATAGTCACAAGGATATAAAGTACAGCCTAGGGAATATAGTCAATAATATTGTAATAAATATGTATGGTGCCAGGTGGGTACTAGAGTTGTCAGAGGATCATCTCGTAAGTTACACAGATGTCCAACCACTATACCATACACCTGAAACTAATATAATATTGAATGTCAACTGTAATTGAAAAAATTTTTTTAACTAAAAAAATGTCAGCAGAAGAAAATTTCCTTATACAGGGAATTAGGTACTAAGAATTATTAGGTGCTCTGGAAGAATGGGCGTAGTTTAGGGCCTCAAGGAAAGACTTTCTAAACACCCAGAAGTAACTCACTAGAGGAGATGTGACGATCAGGCAACTGTAAAGGCCACCTTGGAACTCAGTCAAATTTGGAACACAGCACTGTTGTTGAGAATCAGGACACCACGATAACCAGAGTTGCGTCTTGATACCGACAAAGATGGCACTGGACACCGGAAAGCTGCTGCAGGAAAACCCTAGGTCTTCATAATCTAGTTTTCCAGGGGGGAAAAAACAACAACAACAACAATGAAAACTGCAAAAGTACGGCCTGTCTCATGACTGCTTTCTAAATTTTTAAAACCTAATTTACATAAACCAACTTCTAGGGAAACTACAAAATGGAGGCTTTTAAAAGGGCTGTGTCGGTGCAGTGGTGGTGGGAAAAGCCAGATTGTATTTGGTAGAACAGTAAACAAGACATGAGGAGCGAATTCAGTAAATGTGGGTGGTTTGAGTTTTCCTGTGAATGGAAGAAGAGAGAGAGGTAGTAGATAAAGGGCACATCCAGTTTCAAGCAGAGTTTTGGTTGTTTTTTTCTAAGAATGATGGAGAGTCCAACATGTTTATTGATGGACGGGAAGGTGCCAACAGAAGAGAACAGAGGGAGTAAGTGGATACATGATAGATGGAGAGTTTGCACCTGGTAGAAGGAGGTGGTCATTTTTTTTTTGATGCCCATGATATTTTGCTAAGTGATAAAAGCATATTATAAAGCAAACATTGTATGATTCATTTCCTATTTTAAAAACATATTAGGTATACTGAAAATACTCACAGACTTGTCAAACAGCCCTCATAGAGATAAAATTCAATTCCGCTGTTGCGGGCTGCACCCCTGAGGTGGAGTAGCCCCAGCAAATGGCACAGGCTGGGCAGTGTGCGTTGTAACTAGAGGGGCAGGATGACAGTAGGAGAGGGTGGGAAGGAGGACAGCAGACCTATACTCTTGCAGGCCATATGGCCACAGGCTAGCTTGCTCCATAAAACTCATGCTCAAGTCATGATCCCAATTCACCCACTCTCCCATATGCTGAGGGACAGACTGCCAGCAGTTCTTCCAGAAGCAGCTCCAGAGGCGTAGGCATAGCACCTCCATATCCCATCTGGCCACACTGTGAAAAATCATTGATTGTGACACAGTCTCTTCAAATCATGTTTCCCCCCCAAATCGTGATCACGAAGATCCTCTGACAAAGGCAGACTCTTAAGTACATGACTTCCTTGAAAATAACTTGACATGGCTAAAACTAATTTAGCTTTCTCAACCCCCATCTTATCTCTCAATATGGTTATTTCTTATGCCAACCATGTATATGAATATATTTATATGAATAAACAAAACTATAAGCCTATATGTTACATGAAATGCCAAGAAAATCATATATTGAAATGTTAATGCTGTTTTTCTGAGTGATAGGAATTGAGTGTAATTTCTGTTTTCTCCTTTTTTGCTTATTGTGCTTTCTATTTTTTCTATAACAGTCTTGTATTACTTATATAAATAGGAAAAAAAATGAGGTTGCTAAAAATCACACAAGTGGAGGGTTGTCATTGAACTATAAAATAAATAAATTGCTAAAAGTAACTCAAGTGTTGGATAAAATAATAAGTGAGCTAAACAAAAGGCAAAGAATACTCAGGCATAAAAGCAGGGTCCTAGAGAAGTATGCAAAGCCCTAAAACCAGATTTGGATTCAGAGATCAGATGCATCTGAGTATGAGTTTTTGTAGTGTTTCAGAACTGACAAGACAGAAGATATAACCTAGCATCTACCCTGAAGTCTAACAGGAGACTCCTCAAAGCTGAGACTCTGTAGGACTACATTCTCAACATGTAGGTGACCTAGAAATAAACTCTCCCATCCCCAGAAGACTGCAAGGAAAACTGCTTTTCTTCAGTCTTGATGCTAATCAAATTGGTGTAGAGGTTCTCCATTGAGAATTTGCATTTATAACCCTGTCTCACATAGGTTCTCAGCCTGAATTCACATGATTAGACACCATTCCCCCCAAAGGGGAAAAAAAACCTGGAGCCAATAATATGACTAAAAATGGTCCCAGACTTTTAATGCCCCCCGGTACCTGACAGAAGCAAATGTAAATCTTTTCCAGTGGAACTCAAAATTTGCCTTCATCTCTGTCCTCAGAGAATTCTCATAGTAACATTCCAAAGAAAACGAGCAGCCCTCAAACAAAATATTTCATTAAATATACAAATAAACAAGGCACTATGAGTAAGAACTGGCCAAAACAAAACATTAGATTCAGATCCAAAAAAAACTTTAGATGTTGGAATTATCAGATCTACTATATCAACTAAGTATGCATAATATAATATAAGGGAGCTTTACAAAAATGACAAAAGAGCAAGCAGATGTGAAAAAAATCAACAAATTCTAGAAATAAAAAATATATAAAATTGAAATTTCAATCTCTATATCTGTGAGTCTTTTTGTTTCATTTGTTCATTTCTTTTGTTCCTTAGTTCCACATATAAGTGAAATCATATGGCATTTATCTTTCTCTGACATTTCACTCAGCATAGTACCCTCTAAGTCCATCCATGTCATTGCAAATGGTAAGATTTCTCTTTTTTTAATAGCTGATTAATATTCCACTGTATATATGTACCACAACTTCTTTATCCAATAGTCTATTGAAAGGCATTTACGTTGCTTTCATATCTTGGCTATTGTAAATAGTGCTGCCATGAACATAGGGGTGCATAGATCTTTACAAACTAGTGTTTTAATTTGCTTTGGATAAATACCCAGAAGTACAATTGCTGAGTCAAAAGATAGTTCTATTTTTAACTTTTTGAGGAACCTCCAAACTGTTTTCCAGAGTGGCTATACCAATTTGCAATCCCACCGACAGTGTACGAGGGTTCCCTTTTCTCCACATCCTCGCCAACATTTGTAGTTTTTGATTTATTGATTATACCCATTCCGACAGGTGTAAGGTGATATCTCGTTGTGGTTTTAATTTGCATTTTTCTGATCATTAGTGATCTTGAGCATTTTTCATATGTCTATTGGCCATCTGTATGACCTTTTTGGAGAAATATCTATTCAGGTCTTCTGCCCATTTTTTAATTGGATTGTTTATTTTTTCGTTGTTGAGTTGTATGAGTCCTTTATAAATTTTGGATATTAATCCCTCATCATATGTATTATTGGCAAATATCTTCTCTCATTCAGTAGGTTGTCTTGTCTTTTTGCTGATGGTTTCCTTTGCTGTGCAAAAACTTTTAGTTCGATGTAGTCCTATTTGTTAATTTTTTCTTGTTTCCCTGGTCCAAGGAGATATATCAGAAAAAAAATTACTAATAGCAATATCAGAGAGTTTACTGCCTATGTTTTTTTCTAGAAGTTTTATGGTTTCAGGTCTTACATTTAAATTGTTACTCCATTTTGAGTTTATTCTTATATATGGTGTAAGAAGGTGGTCCAGTTTCATGTTTTTGCATGTACCTGTCCAG